ACCCAGGGTATCAGAGTTGGGTTAGGATTGTGGGGATGTGAGGGAAAAGCAGGGGACCACTGTGGACTCCCTGAGCTTGGGTGGGGACAGGTCTGCTGCCGGGCATGGGGCCTCCCGCTGGGGCTGCACAGGTGCAGAAGCTGGGAGGACTCACTTCCTTCTTTCCCTTCTTCTCTCCCTAGTTCTGTGTTTTCTCTCCTCCTCTCACCTTTCTGTCTTTTGTCTTCTTTCTTCTCCTTTTCCCCTTCTCTCTCTTTTCTATTTTTTCCTTTATTCTTTTCTATTTTCTTCATTATTGCTCTCCCTTTCATTATAAAAATATTATCTTTACTGTATAGTTTCTATTACCTCACTTTTTTTTTTTAACTGTTGCCCCCCCCTTCCCAATTTCTGAATTTCGTCCTGGCCCTTTTTCCTCTCACACAGTTGTTCTTTTTTCTTTTCTTTTTCCTTTTTTTTAAAATTTTTTTTTTGAGAGACAGTCTCACTTTTTTCCCCAGGCTAGAGTGCTGTGGCATCAGCCTAGCTCACAGCAACCTCAAAGTCCTGGTTCAGGCAATCCTTCTGCTTCAGTCCTGAGTAGCTGTGTAGTCCTGTGTGTGTGGTAGGCTCTTACCACAGTGCCCGGCTAATTTGGGGCATAGCGACTGGGTCTTACTCTGGCTCAGGCTGGTCTCCTGAGTTCAAGTAATTTTCCTGCCTCGACCTCCCAGAGTGCTAGGATTATAGGCATGAACTCCCGCACCCAGCTATCACACAGTTTTTTAATTGCAAACAAACCTGCTTGCCAAAAGCTTGCAGTTCCTTCTCTACCCATCTGCACACACACAAATCTTTATCCAGTTTGGTTCTGGGGACACTGTTACAGCCTCATTTCACCCCTTGATAGTATGCTGTGAATTTAGAAATGGAGATATTTAGACAGATATTAAGCCAAGGCTGGAAAACGCTGCTCTGAGTACTTCGGCAACCTGTCTTCAGTGTAATTCTCCCTTTTCTAGTCCCTGCCTTTATAACTACCTCTGCATTCAACAAGGAGAGGACGAGGCGAGCTGCATCTCCACAGTGGTCCACTCACACAGAGGATGCCGGGTAATTTTCCTTAAAATGTTTTTTCAGGAGTATGGTCAGTTCTATCCAATAGTATCAACTGGGTTTAATTATGTTTTCTTCTGTTACTTGTTCTTTGACTTTGGATAAAATTTGACTCTTTATCACAGAGTTGGGAAAGTACTTGTCCCCTCACTGCTTATGTGGAGCTATCAAGATTTATTTATCTCTGAGGTGGGAACAAGAAGAAGCTATATAAAAGTGAGATGATGTTATTTTATCAGTCATGCTAAGGATCCCTGTCTTATAGTTTTTATGAAACTATACACTCTAGTACCACCTCTGTTCGGTGAATTTGAAGGTGGCACACACTTAGCTCAGAGGATTTCTTATCAGAACTTTAAGCCCTTCCCTGCTCACCTGAGATGCACGCTCCCGACATCAGATAAGGGGTACCAGATGGCTGCTTCATCAGATCCCCCCCCCCACATTGCCCCTCACTAGTCAGAAGACCTTGGATAAGTTGCATCACATCAATTTGTTCTTCTTAAGTCATGGGAATATTAATACCTACCGCATGAGATCAGTGTGAGAATTCAATGAGGAAATGGTTTCATCTGGTAGAACTTGATGAAACCTGCATGGTAGAATTTCCTACCTTAATAACTAAAGGTGCTAGTTTAGTTGCTAATAAATACATATTATTATTAAAGATCTTTGAAGCAGAGTCTCTGAACACTTTCCATTTAAGCTATTACAACTCAATAATTCTATGGATAATAAATTAGCCCATTTAAGTGAAAATGCAAATTTCTTCTGCAGCACTCAGGGTTTCCACTGTGTTTTATTTCCCCTAAAAAAAACTGGAAAATTGTGTTGCTTTTAAGTACAAGATTCTAAAACATTCCTGCCCGTCTGGGTGCTCCCCTGGGGCCTTCAGAGTCTGGTCACATATCACGTTAGCGTCTCTACCGCTCTGTATATGGTGACACTAACCTCTGTCACAGGAAAACACACCTCAGCTTCCAATTTACGCTTCCATCTGAGATGTCCAGTATATCTTTGATGCTTGACTTCATGTCACAACTCATCACCATTATCATGCCGTGAGCTGGGTGGGGAGTCCAGGGAAGAGCCCTGGGAACTTCCGTGGCGCAGAACAGTGCAGGTGCTGCCCTGTGTGTTGAGGGCTCCCATTTAGGGGTTCTTAGGTTAAAGCAAGCGCCCATTCTATTGATGCAATTCTTTAAAATATCAGCAAAGGCATCAAGGGCTAGTTTCCCATTAAAACATGGACTTTTATACACCATTTAATGGTTCGTAATTAAATGTAGGATTCCAAATCTCTGCACATTTATGTTGACCAGATAGTTCAATGAGGGATTAAAGAAGAACAAAAAGGGCCCTTGTGGTTGTCAGTCTCATGTTGTCACAGGCAGCAAAAGAGAAACCTTCAAGGCCTTCTGTGATGGATGCATAACCTGTGATGATGTGCGGCCTGCCTGGTCTGCCAGGTGCCATGGACATGGTGGGCTCCCACAGCTTCGGTCCACCTCTCACTACAGCACGTTCAATTGTTGCCTCTTTCGCCTTAGGTACTGTATGGAGTTCAAGACAGAGTCCTTGACTCCTCACTGTGCTCTGGAAAACCGGCCACTGACCCGATGGATGCAGTATCTCCGAGAGGGATACACAGTGTGTGTAGATTGTCAACCTCCAGCGATGAACGCTGTGAGCCTTCGCTGTTCTGGCGATGGCCTGGACTCTGACGGGTAAGGGGGAGAAATGGACTGGAGGTTTTTGTTACTCACTCTGAGAGATCTGTCCTCTCCATGTCCCAAACTGCTGACTAGGATGTAACATATCAAGAACTCAAAACAGTAAGTGAGAACTGTCTGTCTGGCCCTCCAGGACTCCAGGGTACCCTGCAGAACTCAGAGGACATATACCAGCGATGAATGGGTCAGTTCTGATGTTGCAGTTTAGCTCAAGCTCCCACATGACCATCCAAAATCTGATTGCTCTCAAGCACCGTTCTGAAGACCACTAGAATCAGAATCTCTTGGGATGGAGATTTTAAATATGCAGATTCCCTAGCCCCACTCAGACCAAGTGAATCAGACTATTTGGAGGTATATTTTTCGTCATCTTTTAGGTCAGGGGTCAGACAACGTTTTCTGAAAAGGGCCAGAGAGTAGGTCTGACTTACAAAGCACAGAACCAGCCATAGATGCCGTAACCTTGGCTTTGTTCTAACAAAACTTCATTTAGGGCGGTACCTGTGGCTCAGTGGGTAGGGCGCTGGCTCCATATACTGAGGGTGGCAGGTTCAAACCCAGACCCAGCCAAACTGTAACAAAAAATAGCTGGGCATTGTGGCGGGCACCTGTAGTCCCAGCTACGCAGGAGGCTGAGGCAAGAGAATCACCTAAGCCCAAGAGCTGAGGTTGCTGTGAGTTGTGTTGCCACAGCACTCTACTGAGGGGGACAAAGTGAGACTGTCTCTCAAAAAAAAAAACAAAACTACAGTTAGAGACATGAAAATTTGAACTTCATATAATTTTTATGTGTCACAAAATATTATTCTTTTGATTTTAACTTACAGCCTAGACAAAAAGAGGGGGTAGCCTGGCTTTGACAGATAAGGGGTGATAGCTTCTTGGCCCTGTCATGGTGATTTGTGCAGGGAGCAAATGGTTTTCCAGAACCATTGCTCCAGGGAGCTTGTTCATAAAATCAGGAATGAGATAGTGGTGGGCTCAGCTTTGCAGGGTAACAGTTTTATAAAAATCTATAGTTCTTCTGAAAGACTCAACCCTCACACTTTTTACCTTTTTGGAAATCTATCCCAGCCCTTTCCTTATTTACCATTTAAGTCTAATCAGACCACTCATAATGTCTTCTAAAGAAGAGAAGAGTTAACTTTGTGCTGGGCAGTTTGGGTCACACATGGATTATGGTTTTAACACATGAACTGCCATGTAATTTGTATTTAACTCATGATAGTTCTGAGCCTGGGCCTTAGTGAAGCCTGTATAACTCCCAAGTCTCTGGCTTGGGAACCAAGTAATAAAATACTACGGCTCAAGGGAAAAGATTTTGTCTAGGGTGGCAGTCAATGTGTTAAGTACATCAGGTGGAACTGGTAAAAATATAGATTAAAAAGTAAAACATGAGCCTTTCCAGTTAATTATTATTCCTGTGGTATGTTTTAATATTTAATAACTTGAATTTAGATTTATTAGTCACTTGTGCCTAAAGGCCTCTGCTCAGCACACCATATGAACAGTAAAGTCAGTCAGGAATTCATATCAAATAGAATCTTAATATTTAGACTTAATATTTTTCTGAATACCTCATCCATATTTTGACTTTAAATGAATTCATAATTTAATTTGGACCCATAAAGAGGGTACTTAAACCCTGGCCGAGGTACTAGTGAGTTTAAAAATAATAATTTTAATAATCTGGCTTTGCTTTTTCACTTCTCCCATTTCTTTATTATGGAATCAAAGAGTTGGAACGGAGTAGAAGAGATTGTTTTGTTCAGATCCTCCTAATTTGAATATATACAAAAAAGTTGCTTGTGTAGCACTTTCGTGTTCAGATCAGCACTTGGGAAGAGCAAGTCCGGTCACCCCAAAGTACTCCCTCAACAAGAGGGCATCCTCAGGGTGGCACCTGTGGCTCAAGGAGTAGGGTGACAGCCCCATATACTAGAGGTGGTGGGTTCAAACCCAGACCTGGCCAAAAACTGCAAAAAAAAAAAAAAAAAACCAAGAGGGCATCCTCAACTGGGTATAACTGGTAATTTGCTTTGCCAGAACCTAAAGAAGGAAAAGTCCTTTTGTGATCATTTTTTAAAAGTTAATTTGTAATGCACTTTGAATGTATATAATCAACATATTTTTAAAAACTTCAATATATAATTCTGTAAATTGGAATTTTCTTCAGTTTGCTTTTAGTGTAACTAGTGTTTTCAAAATATCGTTTCAGAAATCAAACTCTCCATTGGCAAGCAATTGGCAATCCTCGATGTCAAGGAACTTGGAAAAAAGTGCGGAAAGTAGACCAATGTTCTTGTCCAGCTGTTCACAGTTTTATTTTTATATAGATTGTGATCGAAATGTTTCAAAATGCATTTGGAAACATGATAAAAACTATCAAGTCATGTTCAGTGCTTCCTAAACCTTCAAAAATTGCTTGGCCAAAGTCCCTGGATACATGTCCTTGTCATACTCTCAAGTAGAGAAACAAAGTTTAGGGGCCAATTCTTAAGGAACACTGTGTCTTCATTTTTGTTTTTACTAAGTCGAGGACTCACTCTAAAAGCTCCTGTGGTTTTATGTCTTTGATCCTCCATCTGGGGTCCTCTCATGCAGCAGGTGACCATGAGACACAGAATGTCTGTTTGCTAAATTAAAATTTTTATCAAATGTGGTCCATTTATTGGTACCAAAGTTATAATTTAAGGGTATCTATGCTTTGAATCCTGCAGTCTTTCTTTCTATTCTATAATCCTTTAAAAATTTCTCACTTTTAGGTCAGGCACGGTGGCTTACACCTGTAATCCTAGCACTCTGGGAGGCCAGGGGGTGGATTGCCTGAGCTCACAGGTTCGAGACCAGCCTAAGCTAGACTGAGACCACCATCCCTAAAAATTAGCTGGGCATCGTGGCAGCTAATAGTCCCAGCTATTGGGAGACTGAGGCAAGAGAATCACTTGAGTTCAAGAGTCTGAGGTTGCTGTGAGATATGATGCCACAGCACTGTACCGAGGGTGACAAAGTAAGACTCTGTCTCAGAGAAAAAAAATAAATTCTCACTTTAAAAAATGTACACAGATATTTGGGTCAGGGACAGGGGCTCACACTTGTAATTCTAGCACTTTGGGAGGCTGAGATAGGAGAATTGCTGGAGGCCCAGAGTTCAAGACCAGCTTAGGCAATATAATGAGACTCCATCTCTACAAAAAAAAAAAAAAAATAGAAAAAATTAGCTGGACATGGTAGCATGTGCCTGTAGTCCCAGCTACATGGGAGGCTGAAGTGGGAGGATTGTTTGAGCCTCTGAGTTTGAGATCGCAGTGAGCTATGAGATTGCAGTGACCCAGATTGGGTGTTAGGGCAAGACTTCATCTCTGACAACAACCAGAAAAAATGTATACAGATATATGTACATGCTCATGCATGTATTTCCCATATATGAATTCATAAATGCAGAAATAATAATTTCAAGCAAATTTTCATAAATAATTTTACATAGGGAAAGTTGTTTAAATTTTTGGTAAGCATTTTGTAATAAAAAAGCAACTACACTAAGAAAAAGTTCTTTTTTAAAGAAGAAATTTTCTTTGGTTAATTAAAAAAGATCAAAAGCTCATTCTAGGTCAATAGTTCTTTTAAATGTTATGATTTTCATGAAGAGAACTTTTGGCATCAATGAATGAAACAATTGTTTTCATTGTGAAAATTCTCCCATCATTTGCATCTGAGATTATTCCCAAGGCTTAAAGCCTGAAGCTGAATAAAATAAATAAGATAATCTTTGAGTTGCTATAAACTTGCTACTATTTGTCTACAGCAAACATTTTCTAGTGTTCAGGCAGAGGTATAGGTTACAGAAGGCAAGGATTTCATTCCGAATGCTATGATGTTACACGCAGAGAAAGAAACGTTAGTGTCCTTATTTTATGATTGGAAAATCAGTGAGCTAGAGGAAAAGAGGTATGTTTCAGGATCTGGGGTCAGCTGGACCCCAGATGGACCCACATGGGGGTCAGCAACAGAGCCAGATCTGGGCTCCTCAGGCAGGACTACTTGGCCATGAGACGCCTGACTATGCCAAGGACTGAGCTGCAAAGGCTTTTCTGTCTCATTTCTGAAGTGCATTTTCAATTCAGGATATTTCTTTGGAGCAATGAGTCCTGAGATTTCAACTACATCAGAACTTCTGTAAGTCCTCCACCCAAAGGACTGAACAAGCTAGTCGACATGCAGAGGATGTTGGAATGAGGCCCACAGTACTGATGTGGGCATGTGGTGCGTGTCCAGTCTATGAAAATAAGGTCAGCTTAAGGAGGTGGTCCATGTAGGGAGGCGGTCAATGGCATATGAGGTTCCATGGCATAAGAAATTCCTTTGGTTTCGATTGTATAACATAGTCTTCACTAACCAATGACTTAGTAAAATACGTATTTCTTCGTCCTTGTCATCTAATGACAGAATGACAATAGTAAATGACAAACTTTAAGTTTGGGAAGGAAAAGTCCCCTAGAATCAATCCTAAGAGTAGCAGTATTTCTGACTGTGTCTTCATGCAAGTGTCAAAGTCGGTTTTGTGGAAAATTGGGCTCTTTGGAAATGAATAATACAAAGTTTGAGTCTCACCAAGGCTGGTAACTTTAAGTTTATTGTTAACATTTTATTACTATTTCTAACATTTATAAAGCAAGAATTTTGAACACAGGTCTGGGCAATTTCCAATGTTACTTAAAATTTCTATACCAGTAACTAAAGTTTCTGTTCACATTTAAAAGCTCATTTCTTGTTTGACTAGAAAATAACCCAAATTTTGTGAACTGGTCAGAGAATGAATAAAATTTCAACAAAAACAAAACAAAGAAATCCTTCAGAGTTGATAAGTGTAGGAAAAATGACTTCTAACAGTAGTAAAGCCATGATGTATTTATGGTTCCAATATGTGTTATAACATTTACCATAACTGACTTGTATAAAATCAATTTTTCACCTGATATGTTTAATTTTTGGTGCCTGGCCACTAATGACTTTCACATTGAAGTTACATTTTTGTTATTTCTATTCTTGAGGAAATTTCATAGGCTAGAAGACTTAACTACTCAATAATGATTTTGAAAAGCTTGTTATTAATTCTAGCAAAGCCCAAGGAAACAGTTTAGAACTGAATCATGTAGTCCAAGTGATTAATGAAGAACCAAAAGCTTTTATTTTCAAAGCTAAAGATCAAAGTATTTAAGATCTTGGCATTCTTTTTTAATGAGTACCTTAGTTTAGGGTCCTTTCTGCAGGCACTTTACAATGATTTACAGACTCTAGGATCATTTAATAGACTGATTTTCAAAAGTGCACATGGAAAGTAATTTGAACAAAAATAAATATACCTATAAGGAAAGAAAGGGAAAGAAATTAGGGATAATGACCATGTAGAAAAGTTAAAGAAAAATAGAAACAGGAATAAGATGAACTATAATCACAGTACTCTTTTTACTCTTTTTTCTTTTGAGACAGAGTCTCACTATGTTGCCCTCAGTAGAGTGCTGTGACATCACAGCTCACAGCTACCTCAAACTCTTGGGCTTAAGCAATTCTCTTGTCAGCCTCCCAAGTAGCTGGGACTACAGAACTCCCAGTATTTTTTTTTTTTTTGAGGTGTCATTGCTTAGCAGGCCCAGAGTGGGTTCGAACCCACCAGACCTGGTGTATGTGGCCAGCGCCCTTACCATCGAGCTACAGGCACTGAGCCTAATCACGGTATTCTTTAGAGTATTGCTTTGGTTGTTGCTAGTGGAGAGTGTTACAATTGAGCATAACTAGCAATAGAAAGCATTTAAATTGTCTGGTTCTCTTCTGACATAAAAATTTTAATTAGTTGTCTTTTCTAGCTATGCACAAAAAATGATGTCAATAAAACTGGTTTCTGCCCACTGAGAATATTCTAATGAAGTTTCATGGAAACAATCACAAGTTGGCTTAGAATGCAAAGATCTGGGGAACTTGGCCTCTGAGGTCTAGGCAATCCAATGATGAGCATTGTGAAGGAGAAGTAAAACTTCTAGGTCAAAGTGGCAGATAGAGACATATGTTTGCTCTCTGTCCTCTCTCAAATCCCTCTGAGGTTACCAGATTCACAAATGAGAATAAGTCCACAACATATGTGTGAAATGAGGTGCGTGGAATCAGCCCCAAGATAAAAAGTAAATGAGAATCTGCTGATGGTGAACAGAACGAAGGGACCAGAAGAAGGTGGAGTTGGAAGCGAGAACCATTCTTCCTGGGGTGGGAGGTCCCACTGAGCATCTGAGAAAATGAGTAAAAAAAATTTCACCCCCAGAGATGAATCTGGGAAATTAAAAGTCAAGGGAGAAAAGACCATAAACCCTTTCAGAGAAGAAAACAGATCACCTGTAAAGAAACAGGTGTCCCCATGAGAACACAACAGTCTACATCCGTGGATGCTCAGAGTCTAGGAAGTAAAGCCTCCAACCTCTGAGGGAAAATGATGTGAAACTAGTAATTTATAGCAGCCACTTTATTTATTACTAACAAAGTGTGGAGGCACAATACAGACTTGCAGAGGTATAAGGATTCAGAAGCTTCATTAAAAGGTCCTAAATAAGACCTTCCTTTTCAGTCAAAGATGGCAGGTTGAACACATGTATTTAGGTCCCAATTCCCAATTCACTTATAGGTACGGGGATTTTAACCCACCTCCCCCCAAAAACCCACATACAGAGTAGCCATAAAGTTTGTGTGCAATTTTAATAGCTGCCTACTTTAAATTGCACACAAACTTTATGTGTGCCACTCTGTGTAATGATAAAAAGGTCAAGAGACCCGTTGTTGGGCAGCATGTCAACAGCCTGATGGAAGGCTTCTGGAGGGGTCGCCAGCCTGGAAATGTCAATCTGCATCCCGACTGGCGACCCCCAGTTCCCTTTGCCATGTGCTCTGAGAATGCCAAAACCACAGGGAATATATGGCTACAGGTGTTGACATTTGAGGAAAACCACAAACAAAGATGAGAGAAACAAAAGCCAAGAAGAAACAAGGAAGGAATTTAACAAAACTTAGAGGAAATAATGCCAGGAGCAGAAGAGATGCTCTGTCTCACCCCACACAAAGTTTGTTAAATTCCTCTCTGAGGAAACGGATTGTCTAAGAGCAATGACTACAGGTGTTGACAGGTGAGGGTCCCCCAATGAAAGGGCCAAGTGTCTGTATGAGCACTGTACACACACACCCTTATCCTGATATCTTGGTCAGTTTATGCTACTAACCCCAGAAGCCTATAGACTGGCTGGCTTCAACAACAAATATTTATTTCTTATTTCTCATAGTTCTGGAGGCTGGGAAGTCCAGTATTAAGGTCTCAGCAGATCTGGTGTCTGATGAGGGTTCTTTTCCTGTTTTGCAGGTGGATGACTTCTTACTATCCTCACAAGGCAAGGGGAGACAGAGAGAGGAGGTGGGAAGAGAGGGAAGAGAGGGGAGAGAGGAAGAGAGGGAGGACAGGGGAGACAGAGAGAGAGGAGGAGGGAAGAGAGGGAAGAGAGGGGAGAGAGGAGGAAGAGAGGGAAGACAGGAGAGCAAAAGACGGGGGTAGAATACAAGTGCAGGGAAAGCTCTCTCCTGACTCTTCTTGAGGGCTCTCCCCTCACTCTCATCAT